ACACATACACCATTTGAATAATTATGATTTTAATTTCATCAGCTGCAAACTAGATTTCTCAAATAGCGGCTCCATTATCAGGTTTATCTAGAGAAATAATGAACTGTTAAATACAAAGTTAAAGTTGCTATGATTTTTGATTAAACTACATAATTTCAACCTGGTGGTAGCAGCTTGCAAACTGTAATTAGCTGTCTCATTGTCCTAGGTAGGAAAAAGTTCGTTGGATCACATTATTCGGTCAAGTAGTTAATTATATGTAGATTTTATAATAATCATTAATATAAACATGTGTATTGTGTAAGCAGCAAACAAAATAATGCGGTTTTTACGTAGATAGCAGGATGTTACTAAAATCCCTTCCCTCTCGCAAGTGGACACAAGTTATGATTTTTTGACACCATGATATTTGTTATGCGTGGTCTCAGTAACCAGCATACCAATGCTAACGGATTTGTAACTTGTCGAAGAGCTAAGAAAGTATTCAAAGTATCATTTAATACATCCATGAACTTGAACAAGTTTGAGAAGCATTCTGGTCTGTCGTAAGTTCCTGGCTTCAGGTAGCTTCAAGCGGTATTTCAATTATATATGAGTCTTTTAAATATACTATTCATTACGTTTATCAAGTTTTTCACATTTTCAATGATATGGGATGAAAGAAATTAAATCTCTAACTTTACGAGATAATATGAGATATTATGTTTTTTTGATTAATTTTATATAATATGTACATCGCGAAAAACCATGACACTCATTCCGTCGGTCATGCAAAGTACTGCTCGGATTTGGATGAAATTTCCACACAATTATTACACACATTATTACTATGCCAAAGAAGCTTTGACATTTTTGAAAATTTGTCGCGTGTCGGCGGAGCTAGGACCAAAACCACGAAAAAAATAAGAAGCGGTCAAACTACGTTTTCTAGCATTTCGAAGGCTTCTCATCATTTTCAGAATATTTTTTGTAAGTATCGAAAATCGGGGGTTCAGGGTTGTAGGGGGTGGGCGAAGGTATATATCATTTTATTGGTGGCAGTATATGTATACGTTTCCAACCCCAGTAATTTTACGCACCTATCAGTACATCTAAGGTTTCCTCGTACACTTGCCCTTATAACACAAAATAGAAGTATTTATAGACGAGACTCGTGGTCAGCCGCAAAGGCGATTTTTATACGCCGATTCCTGCCTTGCGTCTGACAGCATCGCCAGCAAGCACAGCACCATTGTCAGATGAGCCAGACAGAATTCTCCCAGAACAAGCATAAACATCCCCCAGAATTGCAACTTTTCCAAAAAAAAATCGCACAAACACACTTCATTGAGAGAGGTCAGATTTCAGACAGGAATTATTCTTAAAACCTGCAAAATATCCCCTAACTGAATAATATTTAGTGCCCTATACGGTAGATTTACTCGATTCAGTTCAGTATCAAAAGAAAATTGTTAGCTTGAAATCTAAATTCTACCTAACTTAACCGTCGTTATTGGGGACTATATATATATATATATATATATATATATATATATATATATATATATATATTGTAAGTATATATGTGTGTATTCGTGGAAATCATGCTCTTTATAGATGAAGTTTTGAGGCGTGCCTCAAATCGAAAGGAAAATGTCCATCATGAAATATGCTGTTCCTTGAAGCTTTTATGCGCAACGTCATTGCACCAAAAATAGCCACATTAATGTTTTTAATTTAATTGTCCGTGACACCTGCATTTCTCGTTAATCGATTGTCATACCTCCTATATGTGTTACGTGGAAATCACTTCGGGTGTACAGCTGCAAGACATTCTGCAACAGCGGTATATCCATGAAGTATTCACGAATGTCGTTACCAATGACATCGTGACATCAAACCTACAGCGACTTTGATTTATCCCTTAAACTATAAGTGTACGCGTGTGCGTATGTACATACATACATTATTATTAGTCAAAAGTTGCTAATTAGGTTGAGGTATCAGCGGACCTAATGGGACTAATTTATTTATAGAAAAGTTTGCCCAACGCTTGTTAGGTGGCAAAAATCTTGTGATAAGAGGTGATAAGAAACATCTGAGACAAAACCGATCCCGCGTTGATCTTGTATGTTTTTCTCTCCTTAATAGTTAAAATATCAAGTGAACTCGACGTTAGTAACAAGTAAGTGGTATGTCTAGTCTGTTCACGAATACGCAAAAATTAGGTTTCCTTAGGCACCAAAGCGATATTATTTCCTGGAATACACGGCTCATTAGTCCGAATAAACCGTATTAATTTCGATCTACCTACAGTAAGCAACCCAATAAAACTAATGATGTCGCTTTACATAATTGAATTAAGTAATTCCGCGTCATCGTTTCACTTCGTAATTAGCCGCTAGTTGTACTGGTAAAGACAGACCGACTGACTCTTGTACACACACTCATGTAGAAAGAAATCAAAACCACAACTTACTTTGAATTGCTGATGAGTACTAACTATTTTACATGTTATCTCATATTTTATGGTGAATTAATTGCATGTTTATCCACCAATTTTTAGAGTTAGTATCATACATCTTTATATAATAAGCTACATACGAGGTCTGTAAATTAAATGGTGATACTGATTTTTTCTTATTTTTCTATTCAAATATAATTAAAATTTGATATTGTCACCCTCAAAAAACTCGTATCTTCCACTTCTTCCACTACGATACTGGAATAGTGTTCAGGGGGTCGGTTACAGAAATTTCAATGTTTTCGACTGTCCCAAAATGATGGTTTTTCAACGAAGAGAGAAAAAAGCCACAAGGACTCAAGTCACGTGAATAAGGAGGCTGAGGAGTCACAGCAATGTTTTTACTGGCCAAAAACTCGTTTATTAACATTGCTGTGTGACAAGGAGTATTATCGTGATCCAGTTGTTCCTGCTCTGATAAATGGTAGTGTGAGTCAAATTTAACTCTTCCCCGATCATTCTGACTGTCAACCGAAGATCTGAACGCACCCCGGGATTCTGTCGATATTTTCATCGGTTGTTGAAGATAAAGGCCTTCCGATTCGTGATTCATATTCAATCGACTCTTTCCCTCCTGAAAATGCCTTAAATACCGAAAAACCTGGGCTTTTGACAAAACACTATCACCGCATGCGTGCTAAAATTTACCAACAGTTTCCTCTGCACTGTGCCCAAGTCTGAATTAAAACCTGATAGCACACGATTGTTCGAAATTGATGTCATTCAGTTTTAGAACACAATAGGAAAAACTGTTTCACAAAAAAAACCGCTACGGACAACCAAACTTGTACAGTTCCTCTGTCTCCCCGCCAAGTCTGGCGCCTCCAGTGTCGCCTAATCGAACGCTACGTAGCTAGTCTCATAACTTAATTTACAGACCTCGTATAGCCTACAGTTTAACAGAATGAGTCTTGAATTTCGAATATTTCATAATGAAGGTACCCCTGACTTTGCAGTTCATTGGCATTTGCTAAATTTGTAATGTTACTACAACAGCTCATAATGCAGTAAATAAACTACACTGAAATGTTTTCAAAAAAAAAGCAAAGATAAAAAGATGTGTTAGACTGAACGACACCACTTTAACGCCTAACGAAGGATTTCTTTTTTATTCCATTTTTACTACAAGATATTTGAAGAAATGTCTAAAAGAGTGATCATGTGAATCTTGAAGAACCATTATCACATTTGAAATCCACGGTCAGGCTTGTGAAATATTGTCTTAAAGTTTGACAAATCTGTGGTTTCCGTCTTATTGATGATGAGTTTTTGCTATTTCATTTTATTTATTAAAGGAAAACCATTAAATTAATGTTGAAAATGGCGTAGGCAAAGGTACGGGGAAATTTATGAAATGAATTACCGGGGTTGGGAGTGTATAAAATATACTAGGATTTAAAAAATTCCATATACCATGGAAATGATGACTTAACTGTTTTTTTATCTACACATATATTTTTCTGAATTTTATGATCCCTAAATGTACCAATCATTTCGCCTTACCTTTAAATTGTATTACTTCGTCTATGATGGTTCTCTGAATTCGTCAAGTGGATTGATTCAGTACTTATGACGCAATGAGATACAACAGACACGGATTGACAAAGCGACATAAATGAGAAACACGAACATGTATGATGGAGATATTTTAAGCAACAACCAACTTGTGAACCGATTATTTCGCGAATTTAATACTTCCATCGTTTAGATAGTCGTTGGTAGCCGGCGCTACAGTCGGCAGTCTGCTCTTTGCATTCCTTCTTTTATTCAGGGTATCTATTAAATACCCGAAAACACAAAAAACTTGGCTATCACGCATTTTATGGAAAAAAGTTGTAAGAGAAGTTTCATAATATCAAAATAGTAATTTATCGATGACATCAAATATGTCAAAGTCTATCTACAAAGAAGTCCCATCGGTTTACTGCCAAGCAAATTTGAATGTGAGCCATATTACTATAAATTCTGCTTTGGTTTCCGCTAATTAATTTTATAATTAACACTCAAGAGACGCTTGTTGTAATATATAATTCCTAAGGCCCACATTGAGCGTTTGTTTCAATTTCTATTCGTTTCCTAGGACTCGTAAAGCGCCCCCTAATATTTTATGAATTATGGTCTAATCGATATAGAGATATAAGCGTTGTATTTTGTAAATAATGTATGGCTCGGCATGACAAATTTTGTGTTTCATAGCATATAAGCACTGTCCTTTATCAAGTTGTTGTCAATATCTGTAGATCTACAGAAATAAAATACGTTAGAGATAAATGTACATACATTTACATTTTTTGGTATGACCTACTCCAGATTGTCCAGGAATGCTAATACCAACAAAGAATATATAAAATAGAATCTGGCTCTTGAACTAATTTCCCGTAAAGCAGAATAAACCCACTTTTAAACAATAAGCTAAGAGAACAGTTAGAGAAAAATGTAAGCTCCACCAGTACTAGTGCTCATAGTTATTGGATATTGAGCCTTGTGTAGGAAACTAATTTGAAAAGACAAGAGAAGGTACCTGTCTCCTATAAAATGTCACTCAGCGTCCTGAAATCCAAAATTTGACATCTCAGCATCAAAATTGATCTTCCATTGATATTTCAGTAAATTACAGAAGATGATTCCAAGCATGAACGCAATCATCGCCCAGCTGTCCAGGAATGGCTTCCATCACACCAAGAGACGAAGTTCTAGCGAAAAATGCGTGCCACCAACATCTGGTATCCCTGGTCCTTCTCATGAAGGTCGTTACAAGATATTCAAGCACTTAGCGTTGCTTATTGGATTTCCAGGTAATGGGAAACACATACATCAAAAATATTTGTATTTACACATACCAGGGGAGGTATAACGGGTATGTCAAATTCGATCCTCAACATTTCGATCTCGAAAACGGTGAGAGATATGAAGTCGCTTGAATGAGGGTAAAGTATTTAGGTAACTAACAAAATGCAGCTTAGAAAGTTTCTAAACTCAAAGTACCTCCGGAGAGTGGCGGTAAAAACGAATCTTCCCAAAATCGTTTTAATTTTTTCCTGGCCTTATTTGTAGTGAGATTTCAAAATAAATTGCACACTAACGTTGCCACTGTTTCTCCTCTACAATATATAATTAGAACCTCGATATGACGTTTCGTGTCTTGTCTCCTCCAGCATCAACTTTATTTTTTCTTATGGACGCCATTTTTTATTCACAGGTGCATCGAGTTTTTAATTTTGATTCCAAAAATGTTTAATATGTCATAACATTGGCATCGCTAACCAAAAAAAGAGATTTTCATAGGAAGGCATTGAAATTATCGGATAGTCATTTGTTTCGTATACCAGATTTATCGGAAAATCATTTTTTGTTTTTCCTGACTTTACTTGAGATTTATAAGTAAATTACATGTTGTCATTGTCACTTTTTCTCCTCTACAAGATAGCGTAGTCTAATTTTCAATTCCAGGTTTCTTCTTTCTACTCCAATCACCGAATTTGTTTTTTTTATATGGACTCTGTATTGGAATTTTGTTCATTTAAATGGACTGTTCAGTACTAGGCCATGAATTTGTTGTTGTAACGAAAATTCTAAGGTAATAAAAAAGGTATGGTGAAACCTGATCACGAACTGAAAATTTTATTGATTGTAATAACAACAATAATTATAAATGAACAAAGGTAAATCATAGTAGATGTTCAAAACCCTGACTCTTCTCTGTACATGGTTCACTTATCGGTTTATTTCCGTTCTTCTCAGATGTCTAGTCAGGTATAAGACACAAGAGGCTATCAGATAACTGCAACGCCTACCTAGTATGTGTTTCTGAAATAACTAAGGTTTGGCACTATATATGACATATTATACATTATAAACTCTATTCACAAGTGTAAAACGGCTATATGGTGTCTATAAGAAGTAAAACTAAAGTTGATGCTGAAGAAGAGAAAGTGGCAGTATGAATGTGCAATTTTCAAATCTCACACGAATAAAGTCAGGATTTTGGGAGAATTTGGATTTTTCTGTCTCTCTCCGGAAGTACTTTGAATTTTGAAACTTTCTAAGCGGCATTTTGTGAATTACCTAAATACACAAATTTGCTCCCATTCAAGGGACTACTTATCTTTTACCGTTTCCGAGATCCCAATAGTAAGGGCTAATTTGAAATACCCGGTAGGTGTAACTGCCTCCCCTAGGTAATATTTCGCCATGATTCATTGAGGAAAATGTATCTTCTAAACCGCTGTCAAACAACTTGCAGTCTTTTTGCCTTCTACTAAAAAAACTTTACAAATTGTGTTTAGATGTTGGTGCTCATTTTCGAAAATAGTATGCATTATATGGTTATAAACGTCACCATATGCAATATGTTGTCACAAAAACTACTAGTGGTAGAAACAATTTGCTCAACAAGCTTTCCACTATGCTAGTGGGGTATAGTTCGCAAACGAACTAGTTCAGTCGAACGATCCTTATTATGTTTGAACCAAGAGAACCAGTTCACCATTCCTTCAAAAACTCGTTCACTCGTTCACTAAGAACGAGTGGTATTACAAGATTTCGATGATCTAATCGGTCTAGTAGTGGGTGAACGAACGAGAACAAGACGGGATAAAGGAGACGGAACACAACCGTAAGCAGGAGATTGTATAAATGGTTGCCTAGAGGTTATGAAAAAGATGACAAATGATGTTAGTTATGAAGGCTGAAAAAAAATTGAAACAATACTAAAACAAAGATGTAAATTGACTACAAATGTCCATTTAAAAATATATTTTTTTTTTACTTTATCGACTTCTAGGCTATTGCTGCTGACTTAACGGCTTAACGCCGGCGATCGGATGAAAGATATTGAGAGACGACGCTTTCACTGTCATTGTTCTTGTGTGAAACAGTTGGTTCGCGAACTGGTTCTTAGAACTAGTTCGTTTTAGTGAGCCCTATTGAAGTAGTTCACCGAAATGAACTAGAAATCACTTTACTACACTAGGCTGCTATTCTACTATTTCCTTGCAGCTATTTTCGCAGCGGGTGCATATGCCTACAATCAGAAGGTAAAGCATGAAGAAGAGCGTCCTCCTTTTGTCAAATATGAATATCTGAGGATGAGATCCAAGAGATTCCCGTGGGGAGATGGCCAAAAATCTCTATTCCATAATCCAAAGGTCAACGCTTTACCTGATGGCTACGAAGATGAAGAAAACTAGCCATTTTCTGTACATGCAGCTAATTTGTCTAATTCTATCTAATAAAATGATTGAATAAATATTTTTTCAGCTTAGCGTCTATATCTGGGAGCCCTCAACTGAAAGCAGTTTGCAAGGCCGATTTATAAGCTCGTCGTAGGTTGTTCGTCGTTGTAGCTGGTCGTTGCAGTTCAGTATAACAGATATCTGTCAAACTTTTGCGCTCACTTTTTTCACGTGTGTCCCTCAGAAATTGGACTTTTTGTGCAAAATCTGTCTCTTTCATTTACTGCTTCGAGTTACAAGGAGAATTCTATTTTCATTGAACCGACCGAAAGTCTGCATTTTGATATAACTCTGAACCTTTTAAGTCAAATTTTTAAGTTGTTTTGGTCAGAATCTGGTACTTTTATTATTAAGGCTATTTTCCTGACATATTGGAAAGCGCTACGATAAAACCTATATTAAAAAAAAGGTGAACCTGATAACGTTGATAACTATCGCCAAATATCGACATTAAGTAACATATCTAAATTTATCAGCCATGTATCTATCTACATAATTTTGCTGAGAGATCTGGTATCCTAAATACATCTCAACATGTTTGGAACTGAAAGATTTGTTGAAACTGCTAGTTGTCACTTAATACAACACGTCTATAACAATGGTGCTTTTCGATCTAACTCATAGATAAAAAATATATTGAGACAAAAATTATATACTATGGGTATAAGAGGTTTCTTTTAGAATTGGCCGATCTCATACATGGAGGACAGAAAACTTAAGTGAACTTGGAAGCAGAGTATCTGATGTGTATCCTATTGAGCAGGGTGTCCCTCAGGGATCTGTATCGGGACCTCTGCTATTCATCTTATATGTAAGTGATTTGCCCGGTCGTATCTCTGAGGGACATATAACTATGTTTGTAGATGACATGGAAAAATGTTCATCCTGATGCCAAATAAATCGGCTAATCCTAAATTCAAGTAATTGTAATTGTGATAAATTTTAAGATCCATCGCATAATTAATATAGAACTGGATATATATATATACAAAGAGAAAATTATCATGCGGAGAAAGGTATATAACAAAAATAGGAAAATAGTGGGCAAAATCCGCAAAAAGTGGATTCGAGCAGAAAATAGGATAGGTAACCCGAGCGATACGTATTTCTGCTGGTTGGCTTCATCAGGCCCGAAATGAATGCACATATGCAACTACAAAAGTAGATACACATGCCCACACATCCGGATACGGGTGTAACCTGAGGAAACGAAGATGGAGAGGAAAAAAAGACACACGAAGTCCACAACAAGAGCCAACCTACACATTGTAGTATAAAATGGCTAGAAGACCTCGAATTTTCAAGGCGACAAATAACCACAACCACGCGGCCGGTTATAGCCACTTGCTGTGGTACTTCAAGCCCAAAGGATCTACAAAGAGAAAATTATCATGCGGATAAAGGTATATAACAAAAATAGGAAAATAGTGGGCAAAATCTGCAAAAAGTGGATTCGAGCAGTGCATTCATTTCGGGCCTGATGAAGCCAACCAGCAGAAATACGTATCGCTCGGGTTACCTATCCTATTTTCTGCTCGAATCCACTTTTTGCGGATTTTGCCCACTATTTTCCTATTTTTGTTATATATATATATATATTATATATATGTCCTCACGTTATCTGACTCTTGTAAATTAGTCGACACATATTTGTATAGCAGACTAAATTTTCAGGAACCTATTGATCATGTTTGTAAAACTTCAAGTATAGCATATTTTGCTATACTGCAGGAAAGAGATTTTCTAAACGAAAAACCCCTGGTAACGGGGGAATCATGTGAAATTCTGGCACAAAAAAGAAACGTCAGAGTCATTTTTGTAGTAAAGCCAGTTGACATTTTTAAGTCAAGGGAAAATCTCAATGCGTAATGCACTTACATTCTGAAATACGTAACCTTTTTTAAGAAATATAATAGTTTCCACATATCAATGTTTATCACGAGTACAACGCTAGAAATCAAAATTCGAAAATAGACCAAAAACATCCTAGCACCTACTTCAAAATATTACAATTGCGTCATATTATTCAACAAATTACCAGTTAAAATTCAACAAATCAGTAACTATATTTAATTTAAGAAAGAAGTTGAGAAATTATTTAAAAAAAAATTAATCTTACATTGTCGCTGAGTACTTGGGATATACGAACTTGCACTTGAGTACATTGATATGTATTGTTACATTTTAATCGATCTGTATTGTTTTGTATTACATTTTTTACCGCATATACAAAATTCTATCAAGTGAATATGAAAAAAGAAAGAATAAAATAGCAATAAATTCAATCTCAAAGTAAAAATTGTTTATTGCGATTGTCGCAACTAATCTTTGTACGAAAATGTTCGTAAAAGTCTAACTGAAATGGATTCAGGAAATGAACATATCAGTCAACGTTTCTCTAATGACCACTTTCAAATTTTGAGGTTAACTGCAACTACAAAAGTTAAAACTTGACCAAGCCGAACGACAAAAGTTTGTTATAGAGATTGCCTAACCTGAACGCCAACTACAACGACGAATGTCGGGTTTATAAATCGGTCTTAATGCTTGAACTGAGTATGAGTAAGAAAGATCCTATTTTACTAGCACTGACAATCTATGACCTCGATAGTATTTTTTAGTAATAGTAATTCAACACTATCGCACTGTTTTGTTTCAGCAATTTTGATAGTAAGTGCCAACATCTACAATAAAATTGGGCTTCATGACAAGGACAACCGACCGTTTTGAAAAGGAAGCTGTTTTATACAAGGCCATTGATATTGTCAAACATTCATATACCGTCCTAAATAAAGTGGAATCCAAAAGTTCTTTATGTTAATATCTCAAATAACATACCCCAATAAATCCGTAAGCTGTGGAGCACGCCGATTCATAATGTTCGGGAAAACAACCTTCACCCGTGGAAAAGTAAAAGATAAAAAATGGCGTAAATTACGTTTCCTCTGCACTCCAACGCTAGGATTATGTTCGGACAAGTTAATCCCTCTGAATAGCTTCAGACATCTATAGGAAGTGAATTAAATGTACTAAGTCAGAGTCTCTGAAATATCAAATAAAACTTAGTGTGAGTGGTTTTCCCACTAGCTTCGCCACCACACGTCCGAATTTCAAAAACTGTAAAGCATAATAGCAACTCTGGGTGGAAATTTCAACGAGCGGTACTTCTCGAGTTATAGGCGGTTAAAAGGATTAACAGACAGATCGACGGCTATCATGGTTTTTCGAGATGTACATATCATATAACATCAAAAAAATATAATATTTTCGCGATTACAATACTTCCCCGCCAGTAGGTGTGAAAGTCCAAAGAACATCAAGCGGCTAATAATATGCAACATATGTTTGCCCTTCATGTAAAGTCTAGACCTAGGTGTGATATCAAAACGTCAGTCTAGGTATTTATGATTTAAAGTCAAGTCCTCTATGTTGCTATGAAAATTCTCGTTGCCTAAAAAGGCGTTTTCAGTGTAAACTTCCTAAAGAAATTTCAACGAGATCTATGGGAGTATACTCAGGTGTTCCCTCGCCAGCCAGCATTGGTCAACACAAGTGCTTCAAAAACATGGCGCTCTGCTCAATGTTCCCTCTGATTGCTGTATCAGCTTTTTACGTCTACAATGCTCATTTGCGCAAAAAGGAGCATCACGAAAGACCATCTTGTGCCAAATATGTATATTTGATGTAAATGTAATAGTGCTTATAAATCGGCAATATCTTTCTAACATAGCCCAATGCGCCAAATTCTTGGAATCCTGCATAATGCAAATATCGCCATTTAAAGGATCCGTAACAGAAATCGTATTTTTAGCATAATATGTCAAGGGACCACTAGCACAAGGAAAGACATGTAGGATATAACTTTAAATTCGTCGGTCAACTTTCAACATGCCGGGTGTATAATCAAAAAAAAATTACTCATATACTATTCGCTACATACAATTGCATCATTTGGTTTCTTCTGCCTATTGCGCTTCACTACTTTTATCGCAGTCACAAAAACTTCAAAATCGAGGGATGCGTATTGTTTACTAAAGTGTAACCATCTTACATCAATTTAATTTATAATAAATTCATTGGGGCAGCTATCAATACCTAAAATGCATTTATATTTGACAATGTTTTAAATAGTTAAATGTCTTCAAACAAGATGTTTTGTTTTGTTCAATAATGAAATACATGATCACCATTCACGACTTAGGAACAATTTTCATCATTTTTCAAATGATCTTTTATTTTTTTATCATATAAAAATTATCTCTTCAAAATCCCTTATTTGTAACATATCTTTGTTAGGACACACCAAATCTCTTCAATAATAATAAGCAGTAAGTAATAAGAGTCATACCCTCTTGGAGGATAGACAACATATTCCTATAGCATAGAAATATTTTAGAAACTTCTTTTGCACTTTTTCAATATTATTTTCTAGCGCTCCAAATAACTGCGCTGTATTCTAACTTACTTATGACAAACACTGAAAATAACTTAATAAGCGTTGTGATATTGGAATTTCTACAGTTTCTGATAATGAAGCCATAGGTATGTGCGATACGCATTACTTATAATTTCACTGATGTGGTAGTTAGAAGTGGGCTGATAATCGAAATACACGGAAATATGCGCCCAAATCTTTCCAATAAACAATGATTTATTTTGTATAGGTAAGTTAAAAATTAGACTTTCCGGGTGGAGGGTAAAACCCGGCATTTAGAGTTGTTCAAATACAAATTGTTATTGATTCACTCTATATTAGTAAGAAAATATTTTTTGTTGGAGTTTTCCACAATCTTGCCAGCTAGAAACATACGTTTAGCTTCAGGTCATCAGCAGACATAAGCTTGTTGCATGATAAAGAACTGCAAAGAACTTTGACGTATAAGGCAAACAATAGGGGACCCAAATTGGAACCCTGGGGTACACTACTACTTGACATGTATGTGTCAGAACTTAATCCTTCATAGAATACATATTGTTCTCCAATCTAGATGAGACTTGAGAAAATCCACGTAAGTTTTGTTGAATC